CAGCCAAGTGCAGAACATTCCAAACACCTGGAACCACACACGTGGTCAAGCCATCCCCTAATACAGCCCTGCTGTGTAAAGCAAGCTCAGATCTCACTAGGAAACCTCTGTGGACCCCATCAATTCCTCTTCTTAATTTTTAGAAGAGCCCCCTCAGGCTCTGATAGACTGAGGTCTGTCTTAGGTCATTCTCCCTGATTATTACTTCCATTACCCGCCATAGATATATGCTTTCCATCAAGCATACTCTGTCTTAGGTTGGAAGCCATCAGGAGAAAGTTGCCCATCTCTAGCTCTCAGTGTCTGGAAGGAGGGGTACTGATTTTACCTTAGCTCTGGCCCAAGTTCTTATTGAGCTTACAGCCATCCACAGCAATCTCCATAGCTGCCACACTTCCCAATACAGTAATAGAGGATGATAAAGATGGAATATCTTTTAGGAATGAGTCTTAAGATGTCTATAACAGCCTTAGGCTGTGCCAGGCCCTTTTCTAAAACAATAAACTCTTGATACAAACTGCATCCAATGAACTACATCAAACACAAAGATTCCCTTAGTGTTTACCAAACTCTGGTTCATAAACATCAACATAATTCTAGTATGAACATTACATATTTACAACTATCATGACTATTTACTATATGTACTTACACTTCCTACAAACCTACATCACTATACATATTTAAACTTACATTCTATAGGGCTACTTTATAAATCTTAGAAAACATCTAGAAGAGATCTCTGAACTGAACTATTATCACTATCCATATTTTACATCTTTTCCAACTTTACATTAAACATTTAGACTTATATTATACTTCTTACAAACTTATATTCAAGAGCAAAATCTATTTTACAAACTTTAGCACATACCTAGAAGAGATTTGTTAACTAACATCTAGAAGAGATATCTTAACTAAACTATCAACAAGATAGGATGTACGCAAATCCTTTCTAAAGTTCAGAGTTTATAGTCAGCTTTGATAACTTCCTTAAAGTTCCCTTGACAGGGGGAAACAAAAGCCTAATTCGTTAATGACTCCCCCAAACCTGGGATTTAGTTAAGAGTGCTGTGGCTACAGGGCTGTAACACTTGCTGCTAGGGGGCTGTAACACTCCAAACAATGCCAGTCCCCCAAAGTCACCTTTCCCATCGGGCTCTGTCAGCCATTCCAGAGCTGGCAGAGATGCACTCAGCAGCAGACGGTTTCTAACTAGGGACTGTCCCTTTACCCAAACTTATCACAGCTCTCCCTGAGTGCCACTCAGGGACAGAAGAAGCCTTGCCTCAGGGCAAGAGTGAAACTGCTGTATTGAGCTGCCATAAAAAAAAAAAAAAAAAACTCCTTGGGCAGCTATTCACCACTGTCTCAAAGGAGCCTGCATTGATTTGTCACTAATCAAAAGAGGTGTGGCTCTGAGCTCCATTTTTTAGCTTTTCAACGGAGCTGACATTCCTCTGTTCCACACTCCTCACCAAACTCAGACAGCCAGCAAGCTCCTGAGGGTACAAATTTTCCCCTTTTTTAATTTTTTTTTTGGTTTTTTCAAGACAGGGTTTCTCTGTGTAGCTTTGCGCCTTTCCTGGGACTTGCTTTGGAGACCAGGCTGGCCTCGAACTCACAGAGATCCACCTGCCTGTGCCTCCCAAGTGCTGGGATTAAAGGTGTGCGCCACTATCACCCGACCCCTTTTTTAATTTTTTAAAGCTGCTTTTTTAAGTTTGCCATGATTGTTTTTTAATGATGCCAGTGTTTCTCTCTTGGATTTTAAGCACAACTCAATCTCCTAAGTTTTTTTCACTCGAAAAAATTTCTCAGTGTAAGGACCATTTTCCCTTGTTTTCTAAAGGGTTTCAAAATGGCTTGTTGATAAATGGTATTAATGTTTTTATCATCTCCTGAGAGACAAGCTGTTTGGCTGTTCTTAGTTTGCGGGGAGTAACTCTAAGCTTTCTAGCAATGCTTTGGGAAAACAAAAAACAAAAAACAAAAAGAAAAACTTCACTTTCAGCTGAAAAAAACAGTTTTGGGGGGCAGTACCACCATTTTGATCTGAAAAACTATGTTTCCCATAGTGCCTTTCTCAATATTGTCTGCTATTATGAACGACCTTACAGACTGAGTTTCCCATAATGCCTTTCGAGTATGCCACTTCTGTCTCCCTTTACACGACTAAAGCCAAGTTTCTGCTTTTAGCACAAGAGGTTTTTGAGGCAAGCTTTTTGCTTTTTTAACCATGGGAGATCAGGAGATTTTTGTTCTCTCTGAGCTGGCATTGATAAGTGCTTTTCCTTCATCTGATACTGTTCCTGAAGTGGCTAATGCCTGTCTGCATGCACTTCAGACAGGCATTTTGGTGCTAGAAGCAAAATTCCCTCATGGCTTGCTCGTCTGCCTTACCGGGTTAGTGAAAAAAATAAATAAATAAAAGTACTTAAAATAAAGCTTTTCCACAGCCCTTTCTGAGAGACTCTTTCCCAGATAGATCTTTGTCTTATCCCCTCTCATTCCTTCTCCCCGGATGCAGAGCTTCAGATACCTCAGCCATAGCTCTGTTCCTCTGCTCACTGCTTGTGGAGATAGGGGCTTCTCTTCCCGAATCTGCCTCAGTTTTTGCCGTGCTACCATTGCAGCTACTGCTTGGAACTTAGACCCTGCTTTTTTATGCTAGCAGCTTTCCCCAGGTCCTGCACCTTTCAGGGAGGAATCTGTCCCTTCTCTGTTTTCTGCTTCCACTCTCTTACCAACCCCTTGCCTCAGGGAACTCTGGCTGCTATTTTTTCTAATACTAATTTAAAAGAGACAGGGCTGCCAGAGTGGATTTGCCTTGTTCCAAGAGGTCTTTTTGTTTTTTCTTAGAGCAAACCACAAGTGATTTTTCCCATAGATTTCCAGGTGAATCTAATTTTGCTCTTACAGAAAGAGAAAATCTGAGAAGCAAAGATCTGAAAAGCTTTTTAGTTTTTTTAAGAGAAAAATTAAGTTTTTCCCAAGAAAGCTTTCAGTTTTTGAGAGAGAACAACCACCAAGTTTCCCCAAAACTTCTGTTCTCTAAACTTTGGATTCAATGGCCAAGAGGAAACTAATTCTGATGGTATGGTGTTTCCATACAGTTTTATTTCATCTGCATCTGCTTCAGGGAAAATTCTTTCCCCTGAGGCTTGGGACCAAAAGGTTCCCACAGGAACCGTTTTCTCCCCATTTATTTTTCCTCCTTGATAGATTTTTTCCCCCTCTGATTTTTCCCAGTTTGCGTTCATAGCCCTGTAGCTAGAAAATTAAGGACATAGTTCCTCTGTCTTGTTGCTTATCTTATAAATTTTTTTTCTTACCCTATATTCCTGCATTCTACTTTATATTCTTTTTCTTCTTATCCTAAGTTTTCTCTACACTATATTACTACCCTACCTTACGTTTTTCTCTTAATTTTTATAGATATTTAAGAGAGAGAAAAAGAAAGAAACCTAGATAGAAAGAAATATACATGGCAGCCTCACTAGGGCATCTTCCAGCCCCTTTCACTCCTGAAAGTTGATTGCTCCTGCCTTAATTTCCAATCATCGGGCATGCCCTAACTTCCTGCGGCGTCCTCTAACCCCCCTCCTTCCATCAAGTCCCTGGGCCCTGTTTCTGGAGCCATTTGAGGGAGACCTGCTTCCACTTTTTCTCTCAGGGTACTCTTGAGGAGGGAGAAGTGAGAAATATTTAGATAGAAATATAGAGGTAGAGAGACAGAAACACGGAACAGCCTCGGGAGGGCCTGGATCAAATCCCACCAGCCCCTTCTGTCTCTTCTAAAGGGCTTTTAAAGGAGTACAAGGGGTTGAACAAAAGGCCTCCCGAGCACATCCAAGTGCAGAACATTCCAAACACCTGGTAACCATGAACGTGTTCAAGCCATCCCTTAATGCAGCCCTGCTGTGTAAAGCAAGCTCAGATCTCACTAGGAAACTTCTGTGGACCCCAACATTCTGGTCAAAAGCATTTTATCTGAGATACCTTTCAGACTTTCTAAGGACAGACTGCAGATATAAGCATCCAGACCACCTGCTAGTCTCCTGAATTAAGGTAAATATCCATAAGGAGACAACTGCCAAGGCCAGGAGGATGTTAGGTAGAAACCTTTGCTTCTTGTGCAAATTAATCTTAACCCTCCTTCCTCTCACAGCCCAAAATAGTATCTCTAGACTTCCCCTTTAACAATTAACTCAGAACAAAAGGGCTTTCACATACCAGGTGCATCAAGATGCAGGCTTCCTAGCTACCAAGCCGACTTGCCCCGCCCAAGCAGAAAGCGGCGGAGTCAGAGAATTTTGGATTGTATATGTATTTAAACTGGACTGGAGAGAGAGGAGGGGGATGAAGATGGAAGGAACTTAGATAGAACAAGGAGAGGATGGGAGAGGAAGGGACAGAGATGAGCTAAGAATGAGAACAGAATTGAAGCTGTGTAGAAAGATTTTGACTTAGAAGAATAAAGTGAATGGACTAAAGAGTTTCATGTACGTAGATTTATTCGAGAACCCTTCCAATTAATTAATTGGCCACTGGTAGCATCTCTTCTGGAACTCTGGGAAAAGACTCTAGAGGGGCTGGACCCCAATAGTCTTTGATACAAAACATGCATTTTATGTGCATTAGTACATTTTTTTCTTATATATAAATTAGCACTTCAAAATATCCTAGATCAAATAATAAGTGTAATATCCAAATTGGTAGTCCCAAGAACTCACTCACTTTTAATTTTTCAAGTTGCCCGAGTTCTCTAAAATAGCTTGTATATCCCAGGATGTCATTATGGATCTTCAGTTAAAAGCCTTCTTACTCAGCTAAACCACCTTCTTAGAAAGGCACCAGTATATTTATTCAAAGTTGGTTTTATTATTTCATGGATTAGCAAGACAAAGTAATTCTGGAAACAGGAATAGAAACCCTATATAAATTAGTAAGCTCTCAACTATTGCAGAATACCAAGTTTAAATAAGTCACAGAAAATGTCACCTTTTTGTGGAAACGTTTTATTTATTTAAAAGAAAACATCATGAGTATACCTGCCTCACTTTTTCAAAGCAATACAAGTACATGCCCAGGATCTGAGTAAGGAGCACACTACCCAATGAACCATCTTTAAAACACTGAGGCACAGTGCTCATGAAAAGCAGAAATGTACAATCCAATTACCAAACATAATATATAAGAGTAAGCACATCCAATTCAATGGTCATGAAAAAATAGAGGATTAATCAAAATATTTTGTTTAAAAATATGAAATTCAAGTTATATGGAAAGTGTATGCATAAAACATAGTGTATAATCAGAAGGACTCTTCAATGGTCACTTCTAAGAACAAATTAACTTGAGTTAAAAAGTTAAACTTATTTAACTTCTCTTTTTCAAAGCACTTCAACACTTCACTATTCAAATTAAAATTTGAACCATTCCCAAGTCCATTCTACAGCTCTCACCACATGTACCCCTTGTGGTGTCTGAAGACACATCTGCTAATGGATCTAGGTGAAGAGCCAACCCAGGAAAGAAGATGGCCGGTCAAGTGTGTCCAAGGCTGTCTTTAACTATATTCTTTCCCTTGTCCCGTCATCTGTTGTCTTTGGAGAATAAGCAACTGTGAGCAGCTTGAGGACACATTCCCTCGGAGACTCTCCTGGCCACTATACAGTGCGGCCAGCACTGGTCCCTCTCTCCATCTACAGGAACTCATCTGCCAGGCCTCACTCCTACCCTTGGACTACAGGAGCAACATTACAGAAGTGGCCAATATCACTGCAAAAAAGGGGAACGTCTCTAGTGATTAACCATTTAAATAAAGCTTAAAATTAAAAACTAGAAACCAACCTGCACACAACCTTAGGAAAACACTAAGTAGTATGGCAAGCACCGAGTCTCCTCCTCCACTCCCACATCATGGAATTAATTTACTTTTCCTGTAATAATCCTCAACATCCACATGAGTTTTCCCTTCTGCCGACAAGAACAGAGCTCACTTGTTGAAATCAGCACACTGGAAGCTGCAGGACAGACAGGCAGTTTCCAGTCCACTTTATCCATCAGGCTGGTCTTCCCTGGACTCAGTCCGCATACCCGAAGCCATGGAAGCCTCTGGAGAAGGCTGCTGGGGGAAGCCAGCCTGGCTCCCTGCTGAGGGGGTGGGCAGGGAAGGCCCCACACACAGTGGAGTCCTCCTCAGCTTGATCACTCGGTGGGGCGGAGACTTCTTCTCAGAGAGGAGCACCTTGGCTGGCGGTGGCTGTGTGGCTTGGTTCTCAGCACTGTGGGCATGAGGGGAAGTGGGAGCATGCCCAGATGTCCCCGTAGCCACAGAGCACTGGGCTGCCTTTCCATAGCTGCCTCTTTGAGACCGGTTTGCTGTGGCCTGAGAGGAGATCTGGGCAGCACTGATAGGTGACACTCTCACAGAAGCAGAGTTCTTGACTTTAATTTGGGTGCTTGTGGAAGGACCCAAAAACCTGACCGGCTTAGGACCAGTCTTACAGTTCACACCTTCATCCTCTTCCCTGAGGGTCAGCAGCCGCCTGCAAACACAGAAGCATCCTGTTTCAGCACTTTCTCTTTGTCTCCAAAGTTCACACTCAGGCTTAACAAAAAGGCAGTAAGTACGGACAGCATTATAGACAGAAACCCACCTCGTCTCTCATCCCCACCAAGGTCAACTGTGAAGTGACATTTGCTAGAGACAGTTTCAACGGCTTCACAATCTGTATCTTCAAATCACACACAATTCAACCAGTGAGAGTCTGGAGTGCTGATTAAGAACTGGACTACATATCACCTGTTCCCAAGAGTTCTGCTGTGATCCACACAAGAATCAAGAATACTCAGTGCTTTTTTTTCCCCCAAGAACTGCAGAATTTACAAGCTCACTAACAAGAAAAGGGGCTTCACAGCCACATAAATGCTAGTCTCCGAGTTGAGCTTTAAGATCCCTGCCGACAGAGGAAGGACTGGAGGGCCTCAGCTGTGGGCACCCGTGCCAACTGCTACAGCTGTATTTGCCAGTCACCCTGTCCTGACATTTGAGGTCTTGCTAGAACAGTCAAGTCCATTCTAAAGGTAAGTATTTTGAATATGAACAGTACTGAACAAATTACTCAAAGTCCTGAACTGAGTCGACCATTCATTATAAACGGAAAACACTGCCAAACTTGACCTTAAAACGGTAACAATCTTGCCTGTTCTGCCCTGGTTTTCCACTGGATACCTGACCTAAGACACTTCTGAACACATGGGGAGCAGGAGCCGAGTGCACTTCCTCTCCACAGTATTCCAGGGGTAGGGTGGGGGCAGCTAGAAGCAACTGCAGCACTGTGAACACTTGTCCTTGGAAACAGAGTCCTAGCCTAGTTTTATGAACATTTCCATACACAGCAAAGAATGCTAACATAATGTACTCAACTTTAAAGTACTACTGAACATACTTACACATCACTTTCATTATTCTGTCTATACATCCAAAATGATGCTTCCTAAAATCCCAGAGAAAAGATCATTGACAAAGAGGGAGGTCACCATCAGCCATCCCTGTCTGCCTTGTTTCCTGTCTATGTAACTAGACTCTGTACCAAGGTCTCTCCACCTTGGAGAGTGCAAGTGCAAGTGTCAGTGCAAGGATTCTTTGCTTGGGGGAAGCGGCCAGTAGGATATGTGCAGTATCCCTGGCCTCTATCCACAAGACATCAGTAGCATCCACCTTCCCACAGAGCACACCCAAAAAACTCCAAACATCGTTAAATATTTCAGGGAGGGAAGAGTACATCAAAAATCCTTCCCAGTTGAGAACGACTGCTCTAGGCTCAGCATTTGCTGCTGGTTGAATTACAGAATGATAATGCAATTAGTGTCCTTTAAAAAAATAGAATGTTGCAAAGAGATGGTTACTAAAAACCGCATCAAATTCTCTTCATTTCTTTGGACAATCCAGAGGGCAAAAGTCGGAAAGCAAGTTTGAAATTCCAGTTCTGAATCAAATTCAGAACAAGTGATCAGGAATCACGACCACCTAATGCTATGGATAAAACGGAGACATTAAAACAGAAATGCAATTTTATATGCACTTCAGACACAGCTGAAGACACAGCCATGGAGTGAGGTTAACGCTAATAAAATATTACCAAAGAAAAACGCTATTTGTGGAAACAAAAGAAAAGGGAAAAAAAGAAAAGAATTCAGAAGCCATAGGAAATGTCAAGAACTAAGCCTATGCGGACTTTTGACTACTGCCAAGAAAGCCTGGGATTTCACTTCTGTGGTGGGAAATGCCTACCACAGCATTTCCAGTGTCTACCACCTTCCTATAGCCATTTCTCCTAACAAGAGCATACTTCACATCCACAACCAGACCTTTTCAACATTTTGGTAACTTTTTAATTTATTGAGATCATTATTTCGATGATAATGTAGAATATTCAGGTAGGTGATTAATAAGCTTAGTAAAGTCAAGAGTTATTATTCATTTCCCCTTCATGATGACCACAAAAATATCAACCACAGATTTGAAAACAAAATAGAATCACACATGACCTCTTTCGGATGGGGGCCATATGACGCAGGCTTCCGTGTAAAGGCCGCTCTTCCAGAGTCCAACACTCTATGAGCTCATGGGGCACACGCCAGTAGCTTACACCTTGAAGATAAAAAGATAATTAAGAGAGCCCTGGGGAAACACTGTGTCATCTAAGACTGCCCAGAAGCTGTCTGTAGCTTGTTCCTCTCGGGTGATGGATGGAGGTGTGCACAACACTAACAGGAAGTTCTTACCGGTGGCTCCCGGGCAGTAGAGTGGTACAGCTCATGAGCTGGGTCCAAGAAGAGCTGGCTGCAAACCAGGACTCTATGGTTGCTCAAGTGACTGCGTGTATGCTGGTTAAGGCACAGGCTCTGACCCGGTGTCTAAATCCCACTTTGTCACTCACTAATGTGGCCTTGGGAAAGTTATGTTCTCATGCGAAGTTTCCTTTCCTCGGTGAAATGCTAATTATCACAGTACATACCCCGCATGGCTGCTGGATCATTAAATAAGTTAATAAACATGAAATGCTTAGAACAGGTTAAGCACTCCGAAAATCTCCGGGGCTTTACAAACAGTTGCAGTGTTGGTTAAAGGTGCAAAGGACGTATACAATGCTGGTTCCACTGCATTGTCTGCTGCATTGGGCTACTGTGACCACCAACTGCATCTATTTGTGAAAGACCTTGCAAGCCACTGTCACCAGACACGGCTCAGTAGTTAACAGCACTTGCTGCTCGTGAAGGGGACTGTAGCAAGGTCACAACACCCATTTCAAGTGGCTCACAAATGCCTGGAACTCCAGCTCAGGTGGAATCTGACAACCCTTTTTGGTCTCTACAGATACATGCACACATGTGGGAACACACACAAATAAAACATAAAACAAACCTTTAAACAAGAATAATCTCAGCTAATAAATTAAGCCAAGAATTTAGCTGAGTTCATTCTATTTTTTTAAATTTGATTCAAAGTTTAAAAATGTATTCTTATGGGCCTCAAAGGTATTATACTAAGTAAAAGAAGTCAGATGTAAAAGGACACATATTTTATGATCCCATTTATATGAAACGTCCAGGACAGGTAAATCCACTTTGACAGAAAGCAGACCAGGGTTGGAAGGGGCTGCAAGAGAGTGTGGAGCATTGGGGTTCCCTCTGAGATGACGAAATGTTTTGGAACTAGGACAGCTGGTGGTTGTGGAACAGGTCACATGCAGCAAATGCCACCGGTACATATACATTCTAAACCAGTTCTTTCCACATCATGTGACTTTACTCAAAAACACATAAAAATTATACACACAAAAAATAGCTAAAGAATAATCTTCAATACAAAATTGCTTTATTTTTTACATTAATAACTCAAGTCCTCAGAACGAGATCAGTGTCTTTTTCAAGCATTAAAGTTCTGGTAAACATGACTACCTTAGTAAACTGGGCATATAAAATTTTATATAAACAGATCTATCTAATACTCAAGAACTCATGGACCCTCATTAAGGCCAACACTAGAACTACTTGACTACTATTCCCAAAACTATATTTTCTGCTACAAAAGTATTCCTAAACGTGGTCCATTAAGTTAGCCTGGCTTTTCAAGTCAAATTTATGATAAAATTTACATAAAATAAAATTCATTTTTTAAGGGACACAGTTCAATGAATTTCATCTGTCACGCTACAAGTTTCCTCATACCACTTCTGAGTCGGTGCTTTCCCTTCTAGTGCTAGTTTTGACTTCTCTAGAATGTCACAGAAACGGGTCACAGAACAGTCACACTTGTGCCTGGTGTCTTCAATGTGCTCTATCAAGATTTGTCCCCACTGATTATATAAACATGGTGCACGTGTGTATCACTGCTGAGTAGTATTCTCTTGTGGGATGTGTCCCTACAACTAGTTTAAGCAACTTATTTTAACGCTGGTGTTCTGAGATAGCTTACTGCTACACAGTCCAGTAGGCTAGCCTCGAGCTAGCAATCCTCCTGCCTTTGTCTCCCAGTGCTGGGACTACAGGCTGGAGTTACCATCCTCAACTATAACCTTTTCTTTCCTACCTATAAATGATTCACATTCATTGAACATAACCTGGAAAATCTAGAAAAGTAGATATATGAAAATCAAGGGCTGGGGACACAGCTCAGTTGGGAGAGAGCTTACCTTATGAACATGAAGCCCTTAGGTTAGATCCCCAGAACCAACCCCCACACAGAAAATCAAAATCACTCCAATCCAAAACCCAGAATGATAATTCAGGATGCATCAGTTCATTTTCAACTCAATACTTTTAGTTGTTTGTTTTCAAACAGAGTCTAGCTATCTAAACCAGATTGCTCTAAAACTCACTATATAGCCCAGGCTAGCCTTGAACTCAGTGAGCCTCCTTCCTCAGCCTCCTTAGTGCTGAGCACACAGGAGTGAGCCACATGTCCAATCAATTCCAGTCTTTGTTCATTTGTTCTCCTTTTTTATCAACATTTATTTTATTTTGTGCAGACATGGACATGGCAGGGTCTACCCTTGGGGTCAGAGGGCAAGTCACAGGAGTCGGTTCTGTCCTTCCACCGTGTGGCTTCCAGGAGTAAAACTGGGGTCATCCGGCTTGGTGAAATGCAGCTTTACCTGCTGAGCCACGTCACCAGCCTCCTCTGCTTACATCTTGCGCTCAGGTTAGAAGCACACTTCTTAGAGTGCTGCCAGCTATTCTGCAGGTCTAAATAAACTCCTATTGCATTAAGTACGCACAAGGAGAACCATACGACATCACTGAGTTATAAACAGACAACAGTATCTAGTAACTCATGCATGGGTGGAAGACTTGAAAACAAACTGCCTTGATGTCACCTTACGATGACAGACAGCTGACACACTAAAAGTGTACTCCTAGAAAGAGAGGGTGGAGGAAGGGGGGAGGACGAAACAAGGGCTGTGGAGAAAGAAAGAGACGCCACATTTACTCTTACTTTATGTTTGGGGGATTGACGCATGGTAAGGCAAGGCTATAATCCCAGCACTTGAGGGGCAGAGCAGGCTAGCCCCAAGTCCCAGGCTAGCTGCACTAGGCTATAAGGTACACTCCAGGCCAGCCTGAGCTACAGCAGAAGACCTTGTCTCAGAAAAAAAAAGAGAGAGAAGTACACCTGTGTCCATGAAACGAAAGAATTGTACTGTACCTTTTCCTTCCCAGGCATCAAAGGCATCCATCATTTTCTTCAACTCAGCTACGGAGTAATAGCTCCAAATGTACTGAACATTATTTCCCGCCTCTCTAGAAACATTGCAAAAATGTAATAAAAATCTACTATTTATGTATAAATGTGTCTATTTATATCCAGTTAACATATGCTCAATAAATACTTGATAATCAAGTTAAAAAATATCTAAGCACCAAGTTGTTCCTCTATGACCCTAAGCTTAGGTGTGCACTCATAAATCACATCATAGTCTAATATAAATATGATCTCCTTTTCATGGTAGTATTTGTCAATTCCACATTATGAAAATATATTAATATATTTTTTAAATTTTATATATATATAGTGGTGCACGCCTTTACTCCCAGCACTCCAGGAGGCAGAGGCAGGCAGATCTCTGTGTTCCAGGCCACTCTGTTTGAAAACAAACAAACAAAAAGCCAAAAAAACAAAACCAACTAACTCTAATTACAAAAGATCCAACTTGGATGCCATTTTCCTTGCATCACGCCAGGTGCTTAGATGTCGTTTGCAGAAACATTGTTGCCTGGAAAGATCCAGAAGCAACAGCACTTCTGTCTTCTGAAAGCAAGCTTTATATGGCTATGGATCAGTGACTAGTATGTGACCCACTTCACTCTCATAGAACGTACAGAAGATAGAAAATATGTTAAGTGACTTTATCGGTACAAATAATATTACAGGCCTGTAATAAGACAACAACTTGTAAGAATTTAACATGTGCCGGGCAGTAATGGCGCACGCCTTTAATCCCAGCACTTGGGAGGCAGAGGCAGGCTGATCTCTATGAGTTCAAGGCCAGCCTGGGCTACCAAGTGAGTTCCAGGAAAGGCACAAAGCTACACAGGGAAACCCTGTCTCGAAAAACCAAAAAAAAAAAAAAAAAAAAAAAGAATTTAACATGTCCAAGTCATAGAAGCCTAACCCTGAAAGGGACAGACACAAGGCACAGTCTGGCCCTGGGTCACTCTGTGGGCCTGGTGACTCTAGGCTAGCGCTTTGCCCACACTGTGCTTAGAGGAGATATTAGGCTTACGGCTTTTCTTCCTCTTCACTCTATAAAGGCCTATCTATCATGGGACTTGAGGCTCATGGCACTGAGAACCACTGTTCTCGATCCGGCAAAAGGCCGGGACCAATGTCTCCGTGCAAGGGTTTAATGCTCACCCGCACCAGAAGCGCCACCCCACAGCTTTGAGGGCTCTGTGCACCGAGCCAGGCCCACAGCCTCTTGTCTCGCACAGCAGTTCACACAGTAACAATTCTTAAAGACTTGGTTTTGTTCTTTTTCACATCTGTAGCTGAACATACCTTTTGAAAATGCTTTTACTGTGAATTCTCCCTCCCAGCTGCTTATCAATGGCATCTGTCCCATCAGTTTTTGTAGCATAGACACCAATAATTCTGCTCTCACAGCTCGCACCAGATGTGTTAAGGTAGTGGAGAACCCAAACTGTTGGTTTATTGCAGACTAAGCCGTATGAATCACAGAAGTCTGTTAAAGCCTAAAGCAAATACATACATACATATATATATATATAAACTTAGATTTAATTATGGAACAAAAGATAAATGTGCTATATTACTTTCATGTAAAGCTAAATTTTGAGTTGGTCATAAAGAGAAATAAAAAGATCATAAATTTTAACTTAGTCTATAAACATAAATCATAAATGAATTAATTAGGGGAGGTTTTTTTTTCTTTGTAACAACAACAAAAATCTCAGTAACTTTCATTTAGAGAGAATACTTTCCAGACAGAATTTCTCTCTGAGCTCTTCTTTGGTTTGCCATCACCACTTCTAATTTCACAATCTTCATATAACAACTGAAAGTGAGATCTTCGCTTTCCTCACTGGACTGTTTTCTCAAACGTCTCACTTGACCTCCGTTTTTCTTCCTATTAGCTGGCCCCACCGCTGGTCCTAATTTTCAACTCCAAATTCCAACTTCGGGTTAATCAAATGAACTCGTTCTTCTACACTGGAAGGCCGCTATGGCGAGGCCCAGCAGTGTCTGAACTCATCTGGCATTTACACACTCAAGTCATTCATTCATAGTAAGCACCCACTCTCTCCTGAGTACTCTTAGGTCCTGGAGTGAAGAAGAGGGATAGTCCAAATACTAGGAGTTCATAGCGAACGCAGAGCCAGACACAACTGAGCTATCAGCACACCGAGAACTAAGTCCAGCTGTGACAGCACCAGGAACACAGAACACGGGGCTCCTCCCAGGACTGCGGCAGAGGCCTTCCCTGTGAGAAACGGCACTGCTGTCCTAAACACATTCAGGATATTCATCTTCGTCTGCTGTGTCTACTGATAGATCCTTAGTGTCTGGGAGAGCAGGGGACATGAAGATGAGGCCTACCGCTTACCTACTCAGTAAGGAAGCTAGGGTCCTCACGTGGCTTGCACTTTCATTTAATACTGCTAAATAACTCCTCTGGTGATCTTATGTGTGCACCTATAAGAATTCCAAATTATGGCCGGGCGGTGGTGGCGCACGCCTTTAATCCCAGCACTCGGGAGGCAGAGCCAGGCGGATCTCTGTGAGTTCGAGGCCAGCCTGGGCTACCAAGTGAGTTCCAGGAAAGGCACAAAGCTACACAGAGAAACCCTGTCTCGAAAAACCAAAAAAAAAAAAAAAAAAAAAAAAAAAAAAAGAATTCCAAATTACATATAAACTCTTCTAGGGCAAGAGCTGGACTCCTTTACAATGCCATACGTGCCACAACATTTGAAATAAATGGGTTTTGGCTGTTGGAATAAATGCAGGCACACTTTATCCTTTTTTAATACAAATCAGGAGCCAAAGACTATAGAGCGGGGGACTCTAAGATGAATGCTAACCCTCTCTAATCTTCAGGCAAGGCTTTTTTAGCCCTATTCTGCAGGTTGGTAAGTTGCATTATCAAGACTCTCACTTGGCAATTAAATGTATGAAACATCAATAGCAGAATCCATACACCCCCAAAAAAAAATTCCTAAAGGGGATTTTGTGCTGCACTCCTAATAACCGACCATCCATCAGTTTGCTTCCTGAACTGACACCAAAACCTACAGCTCAAATCAGCTCCTATCAATTTTCAGGATCAACAACTGACAACAGAAATAATGTTCTTATATAAGTGCTAAGTAGCAACAAATACAACCCCCATTAACAGGACATAGATAATAAAGCTTCTCAAGTCATGTGAAGATCTTTAAAATGCAATATAAAATAAAAATGTCCTTTTATAAAGATTTGCTGATCTGAAAGTGAACTCAGCATGCCTTAAGACAAACTGCTACACTCACTAAGTCAGGTAAGCGTTTATTTTTAGCAGAACAATTCTTTCAAAAACAAGTTTATCTTAGTAAATGAAATAATACTATCATACCCTCATTAATGATAGTATTTCTATAGTTTAAAAAGAACTTCAGAAACCAAGTGTAGTGGTATGCACCTTTAATCCCAGCACTCAGGAAGCAGAGGCAGATGGATCTGTTATGAGTTCAAGGCCAGCCTGATCGACAAAGCCAGTTCCAAGTCAGCCAGGACTACATAGTGAGACCCTGTCCCAAAATAACAACTTCAGAAGAATAGTTCTATTAAAAAGAATCAAAAGTGTTACATCTTCAGTGAGGTACATAAACTTTTTTTTTTGGTTTTTTTTCGAGACAGGGTTTCTCTGTGTAGCTTTGTGCCTGTCCTGGAACTCACTTGGTAGACCAGGCTGGCCTTGAACTCACAGAGATCCACCTGGCTCTGCCTCCCGAGTGCTGGGATTAAAGGCGTGCGTCACCACCGCCCGGCGAGGTACATAAACTTAATAAAGCTTTTTTCCTAGAATTAATTTTGGCCTTTAAACATGAGTAGGAGTAATTAAGAAACATGTTAAAAAATGATTACAAACTGCCTCATGCTCGATATATGTGACATCACAAACTATGCAAAATAACATACTGCTTTGTGCATAATAAATATGTATTTTAAAACTTGAGAAAATGCCAAGACCTTTTTAAGTTCTATATTTGACCTTAAAGAATATGTCTCCATTTCATTGGCCAAGTGGTCAGACAAGCTGTACGGATAAGGGATGCCAAAATAATCGGCCTCTTCCTGCAAGGCGGCTCGAGTCTTCTCATCCGGGGGGATCTGAACTTCTCCGTGGAGATAATCCAAGATGTATTTAAATAAATGTCCATCGCGGTCAATAATACACGCCCCTGGAAAACAGTTCCAAGACAATGGTGCAGGTCGTCAGTTTGGGTTCTCTGCTCCTGACCGGCCCACAATCTGAACTCACGATTTTCCGACCATGCACATCAGCTCACACAAACGAACATGGCTGGACCCAGCCTGGCGTGGGACACTGACTCTACAATGGCTGTTCTGCAGCTGTGAGGATAGCTGCTTCTCCGGGGAAACACTTTTTCTTCCTTGAAGAACACTGAGAGAAGCTGGCATATAGTCAGCCTCAGTAGCATCGCCCAGAATGTCACATGGAAGTAACAACTTTCCAAACATAGTCATCCCCATAATAAGATCATGGCTGGCCTTTATAACACCTCACTTCTTTGTCAATGTTCAAGAGCGGTACCACTGACTTTAGAAACTGTTATTTAACTTCTCTACGTACTTAGTGACTCTCCATACAGCCCTAATGATCTCAGTGATTAATAGGCTAATACAGGACATTCTAGCACAATTAAGAAAATCAAAAGGAATTGAAAAGAGACCCCCACTTGAATGAATATTCACATTCATGCTCCAGACTTTAGACATTTACCGGATTCATCTGTTTTAAGAGGGAAGCGGCCACTAAACATGGACGCCAGCATGGAGTCCTTAAAGCGGCACAGAGACTCCCGGCGGGCAGTGTAGATGCAGCCGCCCACGTTCAGCCGAAGAATATCTAGCAGCTCCTCTGCTTTGTGGCCTGCCATCACCCCCCTGGACTCCTAAAGTTTTGCCTGAAGCTTTCAGAAACGTTGAAACAATCGCAATCCCAGACTTCTGTGAAAACAAAGGATAAATATCACTGACCTTACTGAAAAAAAGAAAAAAATGGACAAGATAAATACATTTTAATATTGTTTAAATAGGTTCTATTTCCTGTGATATGAAAGATATCTGCAATCTGCTAAGTTGGGAAAATTTGTGTCTGAGGGTTTATAAATATACAGGAATTATAAATCACAGTTGATAACTGTTTAAAGAATAATACAAGGTGGTGCATAGTCAGGCGCATGTAAATAAAGCAAAGGCAAGACATGCTTGTTAACAAGTCTGAAGGAACCATCTAGACTGAAGAGATCAGTGTGTAACACAGGGAGCCACAGGGCTTTATCAATTACAATCTCTGGGTTTTGGGATAAATCGCTTATTTTCATTTTCTTCTTTCCTGATCTATAAAATGGAGGCAGCAATGGTCCAAAGATCTCCAGAGACTTAAGGTAACACATAAAAAGCACATGGCACAGACTAAATATACAGCAAATGACAAATTATACATGATGATACAAAATTTTCCGTAAGGTATACACTGAGAAACTTGAGACAAACTTTGGAGATTAAGGAAACAGAGCAGAAATTACCAATAACTGTAACTCTTAAATCGTGGTTAATTATATAACTAAGTAACATATCATTTATTAACTGGGATCAGAATTTTATTTGTACTAAGGGCTAGAGGGATGAACCATGGTCGAGAGCACATGGCTATTCTTGCAGAAGACCTGGGTTCAATTCCCAGCACCATATGGTTCACAACTGTCTAACTCCAGTTTCAAGTGATCTGGTACGTTCTTCTGGCCTCTGTGGTCACTGAGTGCACATGGTCCACAGACAGATATAGATGCCGGCAAAACACCCACATACACAAAATAAACAAAATGTCCAAAAGTGAATTCTATTTATACAGGTAGCCAGACTGCTCTGCATCTACAGATGATGGCTTGTCAGCCATCCGGCTCTTTCATTTAAAAATGGCCAAAGTCATTTGGGGAAGTTTTTTTCGAAGTTTCTTTATCCATTCTGAAGGTTGTTAACAAATGACTATGGTTCTCTACAAAACCCGAAATGGGCTGAAAGCACATACTCTCGCCACTGAGAACCTCAAGTATCTAAACTTTCAGAGCAAGTCTTAAAATGGCTGCCAAGCCGGGCGGTGGTGGCGCACGCCTTTAATCCCAGCACTCGGGAGGCAGAGCCAGGCGGATCTCTGTGAGTTCGAGGCCAGCCTGGGCTACCAAGTGAGTCCCAGGAAAGGCGCAAAGCTACACAGAGAAACCCTGTCTCGAAAAACAAAAAAAAAACAAAAACAAAAAAAAAAAAGGCTGCCAAACTCAACTATATCCATACCAATTCAGTTTTACTAACTGATCAACTAAAATCCTTCCCCAGAGGCACCAACTTCACCAAATGCCAATAAAATGGGAGGAGACCATTAGAATCTGAGGAAGGCCAACAGACAAAAGCCATTAGGAATCCAGCAAGGTTCAGTCTTCCAAAACCACTTACTGATGTGGCTCTTACTGCCTAAAGGTCCATTCAATCATGAGGCATGGGACAGCGCGGGTTCACTGTCCACAGTTACCTGGTCCCTAGAATTCTATTTTTCATGTTTCTAGATAAGCCTCGTTTCTTGCGAGATCTTTCTATGCAGAGTTAGAATCCTCGCACAAACTCTTACACAGATTTTACCCCATGTGCTTAATCTCCACTTCTTTTTTCCCCATAAGCTCAAGATAAGCAAGGGCAGTGTCATTCTCGACAATTTCCATTTACTGAATGCTTACAGTGTGTGTACCAGACACTGTGAAGAGAACTGGACAGACATTACCTAATTCACAGGAAAACTTTATCAGACAAGAATTACTGTCCCTACTGACAGATGAGAATACTGGGGGGAAAAAAAAACCACTGGTGTGTACGGTGTCCACACAAACTTGCCTGTTCGTAAGCCGTGGAGCCAGTCCTAACCCAGGGCAGCCAGGTGAACCTGAGGGACCAGCTTCAGGTTCTCATGGATGCACCCAACAGACCATCCCCCTTTAACAGTGCCACCTCCGGGGCTCCTGATATATGTAGGCCTTTCACTATCAGCTGCTCTCTGGGGATCGACCGCAGCACGAGGCCGGCCAGCCCCGGGGACGGCACTGCTCAGATGCACCCCCGGAGGCCTCATGTCCGGTGAAGGCAGGGTTCCCTCACGACCACCTGCAACCAAACCGTCGAGGATGTGTGCCGCAAAGGCAGGCAGACTCCCCGGCCACGGCAGGGTCTGATTCAGAAAGTCTGGGGGAGGCGGGGATCGGCGAGCCGACTCCACTTTTTGAGAAACACAGTTCAAGGGGGGGGGGGGGGGGCTCACGCCCCTCCGCCACCAGCCGGACCAAACCCGGGCCGGGCAGCCGAGGATCACCAGGCCCCGCCGGGGTCCTTCCCGGGCCGGCGGACCCGCCTGCACGCCGAGGCGCCCGTGTGTGTCGTCGGAGCGGCCGGGCCTCCCTCGGGACGCCCCTAAGGCTTCGGGGCCCGCCACCCACCCGGCGCCCGGCTCCTCCACACCGGCGGGCGGAGCGGCGACCGCCTACTGACCTGCGGCCGCCCGGCCCTCGGCGCAGCCGCCCGACGCCGCGGGGCCGGACGCGGAAGTAAAGCCGTCGCCCGCTCGGATGCTCGGCGGCGACTGGTGGAGCGGAGCGACCCCGCGGCGCCCCCGTGCGGTCCCGACGCGCAGTGCGCCCGAAAGGGGAGGGAGGGAGGCCCCGCCCCGGGTACGCCCCGCCCCCGGCCGGCGGTGGCCACGCCCCGGGTACGCCCCGCCCCCGGCCGGCGGTGGCCACGCCCCCAAGAACCATCCCCCCCCCCCCCCGCGAGCCTGGGCCCCGCCTCGGTCCTTCCTCTCCCGGAAAAGGATGTGTTTCTTCTAGCCCAGGGGAAAAGCTGCTCCATTCGTAAATATATAACCTGGGTATATCCATTTGCACAGTTTGTGGCTTACAAGGCTTTTTCACACAATGCTCTTTAGTCTGTGACCACTGTAAAAGGTGGGTAGTTGGTTTCTAGAAATATTTTTTTTTATTAGATCTTTGGAGATTTCATCCATCAGAATAAGATGGAAGTTTTATTCTTCTTACAGGAAGGAAAACTGAGGAGAGGGAACAACCATTCCTTCAACATTCTTGCACACCCGGCACAGAGTTAAGTCCCTTGCAGAACTATTTAATTTCTTCCTAATAAACCCCACAAAAAGTCCTTGCACCTTCCAACCGCACCCTACCCTGTGCAAGGAACAAGGTATTTGGAGATGAATGAGACAGTCCTGTTTGCCAGGCTGTCCACCAAGTCCGGACTGAGACCCTCACGTCCCCTTTCTTAGGTCTTAGGAAGGAAGCCAGTGAGAAGTAAGGCTATTGTCCTTCAGCCATGCAGCGGATGGGGAGACAGGGAAGGTTTGGACAAGGTGCTGCGATTCCTCACAGAGGAGGGACCAGACACTGAGGATGGAGCACTGGTCCAGAGTGTCACCAGTTTACACCCTAGTACTTTTCATCACTATGACCAGAACACCTGGCAGAAATAATGGTGTGTGGGGGGGGGCACACTTGGGGATTTTGGCTCAGAGTTTCAAAGGTGTCAGTTCATCATGGCAGGGACCATGTGGCAGGGCAGAACAGTTCACATCATGGGATGGGAAAACGAAGGTTGCCCTGCTGGCTTTCCTTTTACTCTTTTATTCTACCAGGGGTCCCAACCCATGGAATGACGCCACCACATTCAAAGTGAGTCTTTTCCTAACACTCCTCTCTTGATGTGTCCACATAGATGCATGCATAGGTTTGCATCACCAATCATGTCAGAAAAAAAATTCTCAAGTATTTTAAACATAGCTGATCAACTCTGCTAATGCGGCTTGAAAGCAGACATAGACAATGGAAAAATGAATGAGTATTATTGCAGCCCAGCTTTATATAGAAAGTGAAATTAGAATTTTGTATTGCATGGGTCATGAAATTTTTCTTCAAAATGTACAAGTTTTTCTGTAACACTAAAATATGTAATATCTATTCTTGGGTCATAGGCTGTAGAAAACCAAAATGGCTGCCTATGGGCCATACATAATTTGCCTTTTTTTTTTTTAAGTGGGAGAAACAGACACTGATCAAAATAGTTACAGAGAGTGATAGCTACCTTGGAGCAGAGTCAGGGCAGTGTTGGGTTGAGATGGAAATCTGAACGGAGATTCCCTTACTGATAAGGGGAACTTTAAGCTGAAAGCTAAAAATGAGAATGAGTTCACTTTCTGAAGAGACTCAGTAATAATATCTCAGGGAAGAGAGAGATGGAGGGGAAAGTCATCGGGGCACAACAGAACTTGGAAATTTGTAGAAAGAAAGGAAGCTAATATATTTGAAGCTGGGTCAGTATTGGGACACAGGGCAATGTGGGAGAGACAAAATTGAAGAGTTAGTTAGAAGCATGATTTTCTTTTTCTTTTTTTGAAAGAAGGTTTTGCTATGTAGATCAGGCTAGCCTGGAGTTCATTATCCTCCTGCTGAGTGGTGGGATTACAGGCATGCACAACAGAATGCATCGTAGAAGTCACAGTTTAAACATCTGTGGCCACAGTAAGAGTTTAAATCTTAGTTTGAGCACAATAGGACACCATTAACAAGGCTTAAACAGAAAAGTAACACTGTGTGCATGTGTGCAGTGTGTGTGTGTGTGTGTGTGTGTGTGTGTGTGTGTGTGTGTGTGTACTGAAATGAGAATACACTGGAAAGGTATGAAATCGAAGCAGTCAACTGTTGTAATAATCTAGAGGAGAGAAGTAATCGCTTCTACCGGACTTGTGATGGCCTCAGAGAAAAGTGGATGGCTTCATGCATTTAATTTACTTAGGAAAAAGAAACGACATGAAATCTGCTAGTGAATCAACCATGGTGTTTTAGTTTAGGTCCGCTGAGCAAGCATCAGACAACAGGATCAGATTAGGTGTGCAAGAGGCTTATTGAGGAGATACCTGGGAGGGAATAAGAGCGAGGCATCTGAGAGGAACTGAGAGAGAGTAAACTGACTGCAAGTGTGGTCCCTGAGGAGGCAGGGAAGGAAAGGCTGCACTGTGGTGCAGTTCTAAGAAAGCTTCAAGCTGGACACGGTGGCTCCCATGTGTGAACACAGTCTTGGGGAGGCCGAGAAGAAAAGGGCTATTGTAAGTGTGATAAGTCATCCTTAGCTACATACTAAGTTACAGGCCAGGCTGGGCTATGGGGTGAGACCAAATAAGAAAGTTTCAGGCCGGGCAGTGGTGACGCACGCCTTTAATCCCAGCACTTGGGAGGCAGAGCCAGGTGGATCTCTGTGAGTTCGAGGCCAGCCTGGTCTGCAGAGCGAGATCTAGGACAGCCACCAAAACCACACAGAGAAACCCTATCTCGGAAAGAAAAAAAGAAAGAGAGAGAGAGAGAGAGAGAGAGAGAGAGAGAGAGAGAGAGAGAGAGAGAGAGAGAAAGGAAAAGGGAAAAAAGAAAAGAAAATTTCAGAAAAAAACCAGTAGAAGCCTTCAAGCTAGAAGAGTATAAAGTCTCCAAGAGTCAGCCTTAGTGTCCGCGTGTCCGCGCTACATTCATCTGCCGGCAGGGGGCAGTCTGGAGGAAGTACTGCAGCATTGAGCACAGGGATGGATTTCGGAGCCCAGCGTCTGGAATGGTCCAGTGCTCCTGGCAGCTGCAGACATACTCATGGCTGCCACATAGAGGACAGAAAGGAAAGGGGAAAGAGGAGACTATCTCTGGGTTGTTAGCTCAAATTGAATAATGGCAGATTTCCTAGGATGATGCATTATGAGGGAGGAACAGGCATACTGGAGGGGAGAGATAAGAAGCCGTCCTGTGGATGAGATTTGGGTGTTTAACAGACACCCAAGTGGAGAGATAAATAGGAATGAATACATCTAGAGCTCAGGAGTGAGGTTCTGTGATAAGGTGTCCATTTGGAAGGCATAAGCCATGAAACTGGATGAAGCCACCTGCAGAAGGGACAGATAAGTTGGGACAGGATAAAGCACTGGCTTCATCACTTAGAGGTCAGGTTTACAAGAAAGAGTCGGAAGAGGAGGAGGAAAACCAAAAGGATAGAAGTCACAAGA